TAGTGGTCTGGGAATTAACAACACAGATAACACTGCATGTGAAAGCAACATGTCAGAAGCAGGTCTTAAGCGGCACTTGAGTCGTAAGAGTGTCCGGAAACAATGAGCAAATACACTTAAATTCTACCGGCTGTTGACGAAGCTAAGTACTTACTCAAATACGCAAGAAAATCAAAAAATCGTTTACAACGAAATTGGGTTACTGATGAGGCGCTCAGAAAGCACTTATTATGACACGCGAGATAGAAGTAAAAACCCGCTCGCGTTGAGAAACACTCAGGAAACGCGTAAATAGATGGTTTTAGATTTTTTCCCACTAGCGCCATAATCCAATTTTCCAGGAGCTGTGTAAATGATTAATGAACATATCAATAGACGCCTTATTAATTTAGGAATTATTAGCAAAACGCGTTCCGAAAATTAGACATTTTTCTCATCGTGATGTTGACTAACGATAACTCGTAATCCCAAATTGAATGTCAAAAGCGTTAATAAACATGCAACAAATTCGATATATATTAATTTAGATCTATTACTGAATCAGTACAAATGTTACTAAGTAAAATTTTTGAGCATAAATTGTATAAATTAGTATTTATTTTGAATATAATCTAGTTCATTGTTTAAAGCTTTAAATTTAGTCTAAGAATAAGTTTTTTGTTTAGGTTTATAAACTGTGTATTTATCAAATATATATTTGGTTTGCAATAACAATTTCAACTTATGGAAATTAAATTAATATCAAATCTATCCCAATTCTATTATAAGTGTACTATTTTCATTATACTTTATATATATTTAATGTTAGCATGGTCTAGATTCTGTTATACATTTATTGATGAACTATTTATGTAAGCCATATTGACGATTGAGATATATATTACTCGATACACTCACGCATATATATATATATATATATATATATATATATTATGTGTGTGTACGTAATTCATAATAATAATAATAATAATAATAATAATAATAATAATAAAGATTTATAAAGCTCCACCCAAGGTGCTCAAGGCGCATAATTCATGATATGATAGAGATAAACCCTACATCGTCTTGCGTTAATGCTATATAAATATATAAATACATTTTAAACATTAAAGAAGTTGAATCTGCTAGTGTAAAAAAAAAAAGAGGTTCCCCAGCCGGGATGCAAACCCGGACCTTCTGCTGTCTATGTAGACACCTTAACCAACTTGTTATATTGTACACGATGCAGAAATCCACTACAAAATTGAAAACCACAAAACAGGATCTCTGTACGGATACGTTTTAAAGCATAATGATGTATGACAAGACAAAAAAACTCTAAGCAATAATGTGGTAATGCTTGATACTATAAGGATTATTAAAGGAGAACCAGCGTAAGTTAAAAAAAAAGTCGTTCCCAAACGAGAAACAAACGCGGGCCTTCTGCTTTATTATGCAGACGTCTAAAACTACTGAATCAGCGTTGGTAATTTGGATTCACTCTCTCTGTTAAACAGCTTTATAGTCCTAGATGCACTACATACAACAGAGATCATTATGAAAGGAGTTCGTCTTAATCATCATTAATATAGTTTTATTGTTTATGAAAGAAGTAAATTTATCAGTCTATTAGAATGCAGATGCTTTTGCCAACTGAGCTAGCCACTGGGTCCTGCTTGGGAGTTCGAATCTGACAAAGACAAAGTATGTTCCAATATCATGAAAGTCTGAAGGCAAACTCAATAATGTTTGACCGACTTAATTATTGGAAGAATTTCTTACGCTAAATAGACCTATCTAAGTGAATTAAAAATGAAGCTGTCTGTATCGTCGTTACATTTATAATAATGAGCTTGGTGATAAGATATCATCATGTCATTATTATTGTTTTTAATATTATTAGTATTATTATTTATAATCAGAAATATTAACTCTTAGAAAATGATCAGCCATACATAAAACCATTCCACCTATGGCGAATAAAACATTCTTGGAAACTACCATCAATCAAAAGTATAGGTCTGTGTACTTGTGGGAAAATGAGGACATGGTCGCCATTACAGTGTTTGCTTATAAATCATTATTCTTAATCAGCAACATATGCTTATATATTTCTAAAGTTACAAATTGCAATATAATTAGTTAGAAATGATTATCTGGAAAAAAAGGAGCACAGAAAAAAAAAAACTGTTACTGGCAATCATGCGCAATGTCGGATGTTCTTGCTGAAACTGGTAAGAATTCTCAATCATGATCATTGAACATAGTTCCCGGAGAATATTGCACGCTAAAAAGCCGGCCGCACACTGCGTCGCACGACGGCCGTACGACTGTCGGCCAACGAATCCAACTCTGCTTCCTGTGAGCGCTAGCCGACGCAACGTCTACTGATTTTAGGTGGCAATCTGAACGTATCGTGATTAAAACTAACCGTTGCGCGCTGCGGCGCGTCCTGGTGTTACGTTCTCCATAGAGTCGCGTCCGCCGACGACTGTCGGGCGCAGTGATGACGCAGTTTTAAAATTTTCTTTCAGGCCTACATAAGCCTAAGAATGAAATTAGATGTCAACAAACATAATTTAAAGATGCTGTCTCTGGTCAATCCGGAAATAAAACCCCTTAGAAATGCAATTAAAACACTGTTCCATAAATTGATTTTAGGCCAATTTAAGAATGTAGGCCCTGTACAAGGAACGGTAGGCCTACTATTAATGTGTCTATTTGTTGACGAAAAAATCATGTTATTCAGATATTGAATCGTTATTTGTATCATATTATATAATTATTATATACTATACTACTAATATAATATTTATAAACAGATAGTGATGATAGTGATAGATGATGATAACGATAAAGATTGTTATGATTGTTATAAT